ACTATCTTGCACGCGCACAAACAAATCACAACACCTTATCAAGATTATTTAAAGGATAAGTGCCGTCGCAACACTTATTCGGCTCAGCCAAGATAATTTAGAACACACACATATACTTATATGTACAAATAGACAAAAAAATATAGGCAGATACTTTTTGTCACGTTACAACTCTTATTTCCTTAACTAAATCCTGATTAGTGATCCTTTGATTTAAAAATATAATATATGAATAAATACAAATTATAGTAATTAAATTTAGTATGAAATTGATATTCAATAATTTAATATTGTAATTTATACATAGAAATAATAAAAATAATATAGTTGTATATTTCTTTACTTTTAACGGGTATCAAAAATTAAAAGGGAAAGATGCAATACTTTTCAATGAAAAATTTTTGTTACTTATGAATAAATATACTGAACTATAAGGAACTTTCATCAGAAGCAAAATATACTTTTCAAAATTAATTTTTCCCACTGTTTTCAAATTTGCAATAAGACATTTTCTATCACCTCTAATTTTTGATATTATTATTAATTACACATAAAATAATAATTAAAGAAAATTGTGTTCATATTATTACTGATTTTTATTTTTAATATGTTAAAAATAATCAGTCCAAAATTTCATTTTTAACCTATTTTTTTGGTCCTTTAAAGATGATGAAAAATATTTGATAAAGTTTTGTGAAAGTTTATAGTAAAAAAAATTTAATATTGACACGGGTAATTCGAATGTCAACAAAAAGTTTGTTTCTTATATATAATATAGGTAACACAAATACGCACAAAAATTTCTAAAGTATTATTACAATGGCACTGGCTGAGAGCAAAAGAAAATACGAGGAATTTTAAATAAACCAATATATATATATATAAATATATTACGATTTAAATTAAGAGTTACAACTTAAGATTTTAATTTAGACGTATAAAAGTAACTTTTAATGTACAACACATGACGACGGCGGATAGAGAAAATTCACGTAGGACGTCAAAAACAAGATGGAGCGTTCACCGCCGGTGCTTGGTGGTCGACCGCGCTCTAGTATATAGACTTTACACCCTGGCTAGATAGCGGGGGTACTCTAATCAGGCTGGGCTCGCGATGTAATAAGGCGGCTGATGGAAAAGACGAGGTGACCATGTATTTAACATATCGCAAAATATACAGTACCGTGTCAATATATTGACATAACTTTAAGCTCAACTTGCAAGTTTGATATTGACATCATTAAATAAAAATTTTTATAAGAATTAAAAACATGATATTTTATAATTACTATTTACAGTATATTTATCAGAAAAGCTCAATATTTGTTTGCATAATGGAAATATTGATTAATCGGATGACTCTACTATACTGCTTTTTACATCTCAAACTCAAATTGTTTCTTCATCTTCCACTATTTTTCATTCAAATTCATCAGTTGTTAGAGGTCAATTAGAAATGATTGAAAATAGTGTAGTTCAAATACCAAACAAATAAGTATATTTAGTTTTATACCTAAANTTAGAGGTCAATTAGAAATGATTGAAAATAGTGTAGTTCAAATACCAAACAAATAAGTATATTTAGTTTTATACCTAAAAAATGAAAATTAATTGTAAAAAGCAAATTGATGGTGCACTATTTAAGCTATTTATAAAATATTATCAACCCTTTAAAGTAGTCGAAGATGAAAGATTTAAAGAGTTTGTAAAACTGTTGAACCCAAACTATACTCTTCCTGACCGCCATTCGATATCTAAAATACATATACCAGCATTATACGAAAAATGTTTATTTGAAATGAAAAATCTAGTTACAAAAGAAGCTGAAAGTGTATGCATGACAACTGAATGTTGGACTTCTCCCTAAAATGAAAGTTTTATGGCCATAACTAATCATTTTATTGATTACAAATTTGAATTGAAATCGGTTCTCCTTGGGTGTTTTGAATTTAATATAAGTCATACAGGGATTAATTTAAGTTTACAGGAAATATTTAAAGAATGGGATCTGGAAAACAAAGTTTTATTTGCAATTTCTGATAAAGCAAATAATATAAAAAATGCATTATCTTTATTAAAATTTAAATCTATGGGATATTTTGCACATACAATGAGTCTTATTGTACAATCTGCCCTAACTTGAAAGTGACTCAATTGAACATGTTAAAGCAATTTTTTCATATTTTAGAAAGAGTACAGTAGCCAACAACAAATAAATATGTAACAAATTAATAATAGCATAAGTCAACCAAAGAAATTAATTCAAGATATTCAGACACTATGGAACTCAACATATTATATGTTAGTTAGATTTGTAGAATATTTTTTCTATTCATGGCACATTAGGGTTACTTGATAGGGCACCAGAAAATCTTAAATATGATGAGTGGAATATTCTAGAAGAACTGTGCAATGTACTTAGACCTTTTGAAGAAGCTACAAAAGCAGTAAGCGGAGAAAAATATAAGTCTGCATCACTTGTCATTGTATTGTCTCAAGATATACTAAAAGTATGTGATACAATGTCAAAAATGAAATATAATTCTAGAATTTTGGAAATTATAAACAAACATAGGTATACCATGCTTGAAAAATATTCATGGAAAAATATTGAAAAAAGTAATATTACTTTAAAAATTATTACAAATAATATTAAAAATTATATTATTACTATTAAAAAATAGTAAAAAAAATTCCATTTTTGCATGATTCATTAACTATTAGCAACACAAAAACTGATATTATTGAAAATGTATCCCGAATTTGTAGTACTGCAAATGAAAAACAAATAGATGAATTAAGTAAACAAAAATTTTCAATTCAAAATTTACTTTCTATACAAGGCTCACATCATCCAAAACAATATTAATTTGGGATGATATTGATCGTAGTGATACGATCACATTTGCATGTGCCCATATCTCTGTCTCCCATAACATCACTGTACCGTTTGTTAGACATATATTTATATATAATTGACACAGTGCACATATAGCAATACTAACAGGAGGACTGACTGCACACATAAGCACTTTCGGGATTAACGGCCACCGGGCCATAATATGAATGTCCTGATCAGCAGTTGACCTTTTACCATCATCGCGACGAATATTCTTGCTCTTGTATTATACTAAACTTAAATTACCTACCACGTAGAATGTGTGTGTGTCGTCGTCAGCTCCCTGTTGAATTATTATCATCTATAGGTGTCCAGCAGGTTGTACTATTTATTAAATATCTTTACTTAATAAATATTTATATCGTTGTTAACTAAGAGTGTTATATATATTACTATTTCTTCCAAGTAACAGCTTGTTATTGCTACTCAAGCAGTAACTGTTATAAATCATTGTTACTGTTATTTTTTTCCATCACTAATCTTTAGGCAATATTGGATCGTACAACTTCTGTAACGTAGCATACACTGTTCAAAAGTTACGTGTGTAGCCCGGTAAAGCTCGACGTAGCTTAACATCGCCCATTACCCCTCTCGTCGCAATCATATAGTCGTGTCCGGCACTACCGGCACCTAGTGTCATTACGTTTGTGTACGTGGTTGATGTTATACCGTACCTTTTTGGGTCTGATGACTCGTGGCCAGTGAGTTGGCGTGTTTTCTTTTTTTTGTTCTGTTGTTAATTGTTTTGTATCGGCCTGTTTAGGCGATAACCAACAGTTTTCTATAATCTGTTACGTACTACTACGCGAGTGCGCATCGGATATTGAGATCAGCAGAGGTGACATTCCATACTTAAAGAAGAGTTGATTGAGAAACATTCGGCAGTCGATTCAACGTTAAGTTGCAGTGTGGTTGGCTGATGGCTGGGTGATGTTTTACGACTTTTTTTGTGTTAATATGTTGAATGTCTATTAGTTCATATATATATATGTAATAAAATTACTGTATGTAATTGACCTTAAGTGAATTGTTTTATCGTTGTTCGCCTGTAAAGAGTAGCAGAAACACCCGACCCGTCATTTATATATATAGTTAATGAAGTTAACGTTTATGTAAAATAAGTGAAGTCACTCTAGGAATTAGGATTTCATTATATTAATTTTACATACACCTAGTGGCTTATAACTGTAATTAAAACTGTCACCTTTCTGTCATTATTTACTAAATTGGCGTTAAAAAATTGATCCAAACGTTCAGCATATGAATTCCAGTCATCATTGAAGTTGAAAATGGGCGCCGTGCCTATCTGAACTACACTTTGAATCACAATTGCCTGATCATCCTCCAAAGCTAATGTTTATCATCGCCACTATAATGTTGTGTTATAAATAATTCTATATTATAAATCAATAATTTTTATTTAATTACAAGACATTTTACTATATTAAACAAACACAATATTCTCTGTATGGCTCCAATTACTAAACTACAACATAGTTACATTTTTTGGTTAACTCTTATCTTATCAATCTAATTAATCATATACCACAGTTAATAATATTGCTATTATCAATATAATATGACATGCAAACAACAAATTTAAAATTCAAAATATTTATTCTTATTATTATAATAAATTGAAAACTATCGTGAAACATAAACGTTCATCGAACAATACATAGAAGACTGTATACGTATACGTTCGTGGAAATATAGAATTTTGACCCTATACCTAATAAAACAAAAGAAGCCATTCGAACATCGTAAACGTTCGTCAAACGGACGATTCAAAAATAGCCTACCGTTTTTATGGTACGTAAACAATTACATAACCTATTCCATTTAAAACATAATATGTAAACATTTTCATTTCATTTACAAATCTTATAAGATATGTTGTGATATGACCGCATATCTTAAATAATTTCCTATCTTAATGTATCTTTCATTAAGAAAAAAAATAACTTTTATTTAGTCGAGAAGATTTTATTATAATATGTCTTAATATTAAAATCCATTTGGTAGATTTATTTAAAATTAAGATGGGATAATTTGTTTCTGTGGTTTTATATTAGTTTATTTTAATTTTATTATAATTGGATAAATACATCTCTATTTACATATGAAAAAAAAATTCAGTTATATAATAAAACAATTATTTAATTTTGAGACTCAAGAAATATAATCATGAGATATAAAAAGGTAATTTATTTACTATAAATACTCACTTGGTAGTTTTAGCATACATTGAAAATTCTTTAAAAATCCTGATAATAATTTATTTATCTGAAGTAATTCTAAAAAAGATTATTTGCTAATTTTATCAATTATTATTAAACCTTCTTGTAATATTTAATTGCAATTTTTTGTTACATGATAGAAAACATTCTTTTGCACTTATGATAAACGAACAAAAAAACTCTCATTTTTTAAATAAATATCAGCTTTTAGATATAAATCATAGCTGTTTATTACTATACAACAATTTTTTTTAAGTAAAGGTGAATTAGAAATACCCTTCTTATATTTTTACTCTAAAAAGTTGTCTAATCAGGATTCATTTTTGGTCATTAATAAATATATAAGTATAATAAATGTCATTTAAAAATCAAATTTTTAAAGATAAAGATATTAGGTTTTTTTTTTACCATTACAGTGTTTTATCAAAATTATTAATATACATTTATCATAATTAATTAACCGTCAGTTTTTGATAAATGAGTATCTGTACATTTTTTTTGTTTCACAAATTATTCCAAAGAGTCAATATAACATTACAATTAACTCTATTATTTGAAGGTATTAATTTTACTACGATCTGCGTTAATTTTTGTTTGTCGATGAATATCCTCAGTTTTTAATAGACCAATTTTGTTAATTTAGTATATATAAAATTAATTTTTTTCAAGTAGATAGGGGCTAAAAATACTTCCACGGCCTCTGTGCCAGTCGTAAAAGGCGAATAATGAGATTGTGTCAGGTCGTAAGCCGACGTAAAAATCTTTGTCAAAAAAATCCTGAACAAAACTTAGACGGTTTGTCCCATTTCGGATGTACGCGGGGACAGCAGAAAGCAGTTAAAAACGGAGAAGGCCTAAGGAATAAAGTGTTTGATACCAGCCGGACAACTTGTGTGGTAGCTATTTCACCAGTCATGTGTACAGGTCTACCCAACGCTTGTAGTGTCAACGGTGTATGAACATTACCACTTAACTCTAGGCTGGACTGAAGATGAGAAAAGTTAACATTTGTTGTGTGCAGGAAACTAAGTGGAAAGGAGAGAAATCAAGGGAAATAGATGAGGGTCATAAAATAATATACTCTATTATTTATTGTAAGTCTAGTACAAAGAATGGTGTAGGGATAATAATGGATGAGGAGATGAAAAGTAAAGTAGTAGAAGTAGCTAGGAAAAGTGACAGAGTTATAGTCGTAAAATTGATATTCGAAGAAAAGTGTTGAATGTAATATGTGCCTATGCATCACAAGTAGGATGTGATGAAATAGACGAGGAAGTGTTTTAGAGAGAGATGGATGAGGTGATGCAAGGGGTNTTTAATTATATCCTGATTAGTAGTTCTTTGATTTTAAAATATAATATATGAATAAATACTAATTATAGTTTTTAAATTCAGTATGAAATTGTGAGGCCAGCTATGATGTATGGTTCATAGTGTTGGGCGGTTGATAAGAAAGTAGAGCAGAGAATAAGTGTAGCAGAGATGAGAATGCTTAGTTGTATGAGTGGAGTGACTAGAGAAGATAGGATAAGGAACAAGCATATAAGAGGAAGTAAAGGTGTTGCGTCAATCGTGGATAAGATGACAGAAAATAGACTTAGATTGTTTAGTCATGTTATGAGGAGAGAAGAATCGGAAGCTGTAAGAACAGTTATAGAAATGAATGTTGAAGGAAGAAGAGATAGAGGAAGACCAAAAAAGAGATGGAGGGATGCTATTGAATGCGATTTGAGGACAGCTGATGTGAGCGTAAATGATGTGGGAGATCGTGTCAAGTAGAAATTTAGGATAAGGGTGGCCGACACCAAGTGGTTGGGATCAAGGCGAGAAAGAAGGAAAAGAAGTTTAAATTAGAATATTCTATAATTTCCAAATAAATCTAGTACTTAAAAAAATTAACATATATTAATTTTATTCTGAACTAATTGAAATTAAAAATTGTTTATCTTTTTAATTAAATTATTTTAATAATTAAATTAAATTAAATTAATTTCTTCTACTATTTAAATTAGAATAAATCAATCGCAAAGCATGTATAGGATTTAAAATGGCGAGGAAGAAGAAGAAGAAAAAAAAATTTATTTAAATTTATTTAAACTTATTAGTGCCAAAAATTTTAAAAACTGTTTCAAACTTACGTTACTCTAAAATATGGCATTTTCAATTTTTTTTAAATACACTAATCCTATTAAAATTTTATTATTATATAAAAGAGGCAAAATAAGGTAATGTCCTCAAGTTGTCATATAGTGAAATTCTGGAAGTATGTTAGGACCTATAACAAACTGGAAAACTAAAAAATCGTAAAGTTGAGATGAAACTACTCAAAATAGATATTTTAAAGATAAATAGAATGAGATTGAATGACTTTATACCGGGAGACTATAGAGTCATCTACGATAACCAATTTTAGCTTCGATGCGAAGCTGAGAAGGTATTGGTTTTACTATGATGTGTTTTTTTTTTTTTTTTGTGTCTGTTACCACTTTTTCTCAGCTCTCACCGAACGGATTTCTTTCAACGATACGTCAAAAGATCACAAATCGTATCTAGTCGAAGACATTACCCATTAAAATTGAAAAAATTTCCCTCGTTTCCCGTAAATGGGGGAAACCTCCAAAAAATTACAAATTTAGAAATCGCTAATTTTCCAAATTTTTTCAATTTTTTTTACTAAAAACTGCCGTAACATTTTCAAAAATGAATATATGANCCACCAGATCAAGTAGCTTTTGGAATAAAACACCAATTTTTTTTAAATTAAACACTATCTAAAGATTTGCATCGAATCGTTTATTTTTGATAGTGATTTTAATCACTGTCAGATATCATTATACTTGATCCAACTATGCCACGTCACCACTGTGCCGCGACCCCCTGTGCTGGGTTTTGAATTATAATTTTATAAAATATAAGTATTTGAATATTTAAAATGGTGAGAATAGGGGTAATATTTTTATACTTTGAACGTAGTCTAAGTTGGTAATAATTATATAAAAATAATCTTTCATCAAAATGATCATTGTGTTTAAAGTTATTAGATTTGTCATTTCTTTTATCTTGTATTAATATTAATTTAGACTATCACAGATGTTATGGAAGTAAGCCACCAAATAACTTAAATCAATTGATTTAATATTTTTTAGAAAAAATCTAAATTAAGAATGACTAGCCGTCGGGATTTGATAATGGAAGAATTATCTAATAAAGAAAATGAGTTTTTTAACATAGTGGATCGCTGTAATGTGCCAGCTGTTAAATTATTTCTTGAAAGTAACCAAATAGATTTAAATAAGAAGAATTACCAAGGAATAACTCCATTACACTTGGCAATAAAAAATGATTGTTATCCATTAGTGGATTTATTTTTAAGCTATGAAAGTAAAATAAATATTAACATAGTGTAATTTTTTAAGAATTACTGGGGAAATAAAGTAAATAGGGGAACTATTTACTCTATAGTTTTGACAAATTTAATTTTTTTTTGTTGTCGTATTCATGAAATCTTTAATTTTTGCGAACACAATATTT